GATATGACAAAATACCAATTTATAAACTATCAAGGGCTCATGAGGAACAGGGAGTGGGGAGGGAGGGAAAAAATGAGGACCTAATGTCGGGGGTTTAAGTGGAGAGAAAAGGTTTTGAGAATGATGTACAAATGCGCTTTACACAATTGATGTGTGTATGGATTGTGATAACAGTTGTATAAGCCCCTAATAAAATGTTTAAAAAAACAAAATTAAATTAAATTAAACCAGAAAAAAAAAAAATAAAATTTAAAAAAAGAAAGTATGCATGGGATTCAAACTTCCTGCAGCTACCAAAGCTGGGCGAACCTCTGAGACTGTGGCACTGCCAAAATCTTCAAACCCTAAATCTTACCTGAAAAGCAATTCCCAAAGCCGCCTTTAAGCCAGGCAGGAAGTGAACACTCAGATTGAGTGGCCACTTGAGAGCTCGTAAGGACCGAGAGCAGTGTGGTGCTGATTACGCAGGCCGTCCCATGAAACCAGGACCCTAAACCTCCAAACCAAGGACCCAAATCCATGAGGGATTTGGTTGTGCTAAGCTGCTCTTTTGGATGTAAAAATATATATCACACCAAACCAAAAAACCCCAAATTCACTGCCACTGAGTCAATGCTGGCTCATAGCGACCCCTGTGGGTTTCCAAGCCTGTAACTGTTTGCAGGAGTAGAAAGCCCAGTCTTTCTCCCGAGGAGCCATAGGTGGTTTCGAACTGCCGACCATGTGGATCACAGCCCAACGCATAACCGACTCCACCACCAGGGCTCCTATAGTTCACACATGTGCTAATTCAACTTTGCAGGTATATAACTTATCAACAATGGTTACTTTAATTGGCAAGCATAACCCTTAATGTGAATTTCCCATAAGCCTAAAGAGAAATTCATTCAGTGCTCCATCAATCAAGCCGCCTCCGCTTCCCCTTTCTCACCCTGGCATCTACGAATCAAACTCTGGTCTCTCCATACTCTGTTTCTACAGGAGCCCACTCGCACAGTAGTCGTCCTTGGGTAGTGGACTGATTTCACTTCCCAGAATGTCTTCCAGGTCCCTCTGTGTGTGCAGGTAGCACGTATTAGGTCTTCATTTCTCTTTTTGCCTGGTGAGCCACTGTATGCACGCACCACATTGTCCTGATCCATTTGCTCGTCGATGGGTGTTGAATTGTCTTCATCTTTTGGTAACTGAAAGCAGTCATGCACCGAACAACAGTGTGCATAGGGTTATGCATGTCACTGCTTTGGGGTCTCGTGGGCATATTCCTAGAAGTAGGCTTGCTGAGTCCGATGGCAGCTGTATTTTCAGCTTTTTGAAGAACCACCTCACTGTTTCCCACAATGGCTGTACCACATTGCATCCCTACAAGACGTGATTAAGGGTACCAATTTCCTTACATCCTTGTCATTGATTGTTATTGTCCATTGTTGTTCTTCTTGTTTCGATCTTCGCCATCCTAGTAGACATGAAATGGGTTCTTAATTGGGCGTTTGTCGGCATCTCTGATAAGAATGAGTTGTCGTTGGTTTGCTGGTCCTCGATACCATCTTTAATGAAGTGTCTGTTCATGATCACTGGCCATTTGTTAGTGGGTTGTTTGACTTTCGTGTTTAAGTTGTAAAGTTTTACATCTTTTTTAGATAGTAGACTCTTATCGCTTATATTGTTCCTGGAAATGTCCCCCAGCCTGTTTCGTAGGTGCTTGAGCTTGGAATTCAGATGGGGTCTTTGTTCTCCCGCCTCCCCCAGACAGTGGACTTCAGTCCAGATTTGGGGTAATCAGGGGATCCAGGGGCCATGAAAAGGTCCACATTCCAGCTTCAAACATTTTATTGATTATAGTTTTTGACCATTTGCCACACCAGAGCAGAAGGGGCATCTGGGGTCCCACAGTCTCTCCTTGAGGGAGTCACCGACTGAGAGGGGGCTCTATAGTTCACAGGAGAGAGACTCTTGGTGGGGCAGGCTCCGAGCTGCTGGGGGCAGAGGGGATGTCCTGGGCTCCTGAGAGTGGAGGGACATGCTCAGAACAAAGCTTGCAGCTTGTAAGTGTTAGAAGACCCAACCACTCAGCAGCAAGAGTCCCGGCAGGACGAGGTGCCACAGCAGGCTGGGCGGGGACATGCAGGGCGGCAGAGCAGGGACATGGAGGAGGAGGCAGGGGCACAGCAGGCGGGCTTGCACACGGGTTGGCAGATGAGGGACATGCAGGAGGAGGGTTTGCAGCAGGAGGGGGCACAGGGAGAGGGCTGGCAGCATGAGGATGAGCAGGGGCCGGTCCCACAGCAGACAGGCACACAACAGATGGGCACACAGCAGGGAGCAGGTGTGCAGCAGACAGGTGTACAGCACATGGGCTTGCAACAGATGGGCACACAGCAGGGGGAGGATGTGCAGCACGCAGGCTGGCAGCAGGAGGGCCCACAGGAGCTGGTGCAGACTGATTGGCAGGAGCTGGCCCCACAGCTCACAGGACTGCAGATGAGGGTCAGGCAGGAAGCTGGAGCACAGCAGGAGGACTGGCAGCAGGTGGGGGCACAGCAGGAGGACTGGCAGCAGGAGGGGGCACAGCAGGAGGACTGGCAGCAGGTGGGGGCACAGCAGGAGGACTGGCAGCAGGAGGAGG